ATAGGTCTATATATATTTAAAAGGCAGCATATTAATAACTTGGGTACTGGTCAAAATTTTGGTATAATTAAGAATTTTTTTAATGTTTTTAAAAGTCTTTTATGCTTCCCAAGGCTGCATGCTTTACTGTCACTTTGGATTAATTTAATGCATCCTTGACAGTATTGCCTTTCTTTCTATTGACTTTCTTTTTCAAGCATGTACATACTTCTGAATGGTGGCGTATCACTGTTTCCACAAAAATCTTAAGCAAAAACTGTTTTCAGTATCGATAATTAATAATAATAATGTTTTTGAGCGTCAAAATTATTTCTGAAGGATCATGTGATACTAAAGACTGAAGTAATGGCTGCTGAAAATTCAGCTTTGCCATCACAGGAATACATTACAATTTAAAATATATTCATATAGAAAACTGTTATTTTCAATTGTAATAATATTTCACATTTTTACAGTCTTTACTGTATTTTGATTAAATAAATGTGGCCTTGGTGAGGATAAAATACTTTTTTTAATGACATGAAAAAAACTTAATAATTCCAACTTTTGACTGTTATTCATTTAAAAAAATCATATACAGTATTATAAATATTTCAATTTGAAATTTGAGTAGATCAAAACTGAGTGATCATTTTAATGTTTTGTAATACTCATTATTATATCTTAATGTTGCTTATTATATTTATGCATTACCCAGGTGATTAATGAGGAAAAAAAATTAACTTAAATGATTTTAGCAAATGGCTGCAATATAACAAAGAGTGAAAAATTTAAGGGGGTCTGAATACTTTCCGTACCCACTGTATATATATATATATATATATATATATAACTATAATAACCCTGATTCAGTTGCTCATACAACTGTTTGTCATAGTTCAGGAAAACAGCACTGCATCGGGCTGCTCTGGAAAATCATGCTAAAATAGTGGAAGAATTACTGGACAAAGGTGCTGATATCAACTTTAAAGACAGGGTGAGATCATTATAAGTGTTTGTAAAGTGAATTAATTGTTGTAATGGTGTTGTGATTGTGCTGATTTGCTTTTGTTGTCCTCGGTTTAGCTGGACTGCAGGGCTGTACACTGGGCTTGCAGAGGTGGAAGTCTCTCAGCTCTGAAAATTCTTCAGGACAGAGGAGCTGACATCAATGTCAGAGACAAAGTAATGCAAAATGCTGAAAAGTAAATAAGCTGCCTTAAGCATTATTAATTATTCTCTTCCATACAGCTGCTTAGCTCACCTTTACATGTGGCCACGCGGACAGGTCACAGCGACGTGGTCCAGCATCTTCTAGCCAGTGGAATCAATATTAATGCCAAAGATTGGGTAACAGATAAAGAATTCATGAGGAAAACACAAAACATTTACTGAACATGCAGATTATAGTTCAATTTAAATATTTTAAAAAGGTTTCCTCCCTCTTTTAAAGGAAGGAGACACAGCTCTGCACGATGCTGTCAGATTAAATCGATATAAAATCGTCAAACTCCTTATACTGGCAGGAGCCAATATGCAGATCAAGAATGCTGTAAGTACTACAAATCATGATGGATGAGGAAATATATATATTATACAAAAAATACTAGAACACTGGATATAAAACACTTCATTTGCTTGTTTCAGGAAGGCATTACAGCCACTGAACAGGTGAAGCAATGGCAGTTTGACACTAAGGAGACACTGGAGAAACTGGAACAGATGAGAGAGGTTGGTCTGGCCTGACAGACACATGGAGATGCATTGGATTCATTAGAGCATCTGTGAACAGGTGCACAGCTGGAGAACAACCCCACCTCTGTCTGAGTAACTATTTACTTTCTGTGTTAATTAGTGATGAAAGGTGCCTGTCCTCACCAATTCATCAGTATATTAATGAGGTTTTATTCAGCTTTGCCATCACAGGAATACATTACAATTTAAAATATATTCATATAGAAAACTGTTATTTTCAATTGTAATAATATTTCACATTTTTACAGTCTTTACTGTATTTTGATTAAATAAATGTGGCCTTGGTGAGGATAAAATACTTTTTTTAATGACATGAAAAAAACTTAATAATTCCAACTTTTGACTGTTATTCATTTAAAAAAATCATATACAGTATTATAAATATTTCAATTTGAAATTTGAGTAGATCAAAACTGAGTGATCATTTTAATGTTTTGTAATACTCATTATTATATCTTAATGTTGCTTATTATATTTATGCATTACCCAGGTGAACCTGTAACAAGATAGCATGGTTAAGAAATGGTTGATGCATTATATTATAAAAGTTTAATGTCAACATGGCTGGCACTAAGACATTATTTACATGGACTTAGCATTTTGACTAGTAGTTTGCTAGCTTTGTCTTTCTAAAATGAGAAATGCATGCACAATATTTAATTCTATTTATTCATCTTCTGCATAACATATCTTTCATTTGAAACATATTTAAAATGCTATAGGTTTGTCAATGGTTTACTGTGCCAGTGCAGGCTCATTGCTGTGCATAGTTTCCTGATGCATCAGATGACAAGGCTTTAGGTGGAGGAAACTGATATGCCCATGTGTGAGACATACGTCATCTGTGCTTATTATATAATGACAATCCGGCAGCCTGAAAGCAAACATTTGCCCCAATATATGGTTGTTTATGAATCAACAATCCAGCTCTCCTTTGTAGTGTGTTTTGCTGCTGTATTAGAGATGTAATCCATGGCCTGGTTTATCCAGTTCCCAAATTGATCTCTTGGCCTGGTGTCATGACGGGTTTTCCTGTGTGTCACTGGCAGTCTTGCTGATAGAAACATCACACAGTGTGCCTATGAATCACTTGTTTAACGCGCTCAGTTGTTCTATGATTAGAAAGCTTTTAGTCACACACAGTGTGGTTTCATTTAGTGGTTGGAGCACTGGATAAGTGCTCTGTGCCATTCTGTGCCCTGTTAATATTCTGTTAACTGATTCTTGAGAGAGGAATAACATGCCACGTATGTACAAATATAAATGCTTATGTATTAAGGAATTAATTTGGATGAATCTCTGGGGGTCAGTGAGATTTTAATGTTACTCATGTCACAAAAAAAAAATATTTCAAATAACTGACAAAAAGTAGCACTGTTTCCACATAAATATTAAGCAGCACAACTGTTCTCAACATTCATGATAAGAAATGTTTTTTTGAGCACCAAATCAGCATATTAGAATGATTTCTGAAGGATCATGTGACACTGAAGACTGCAGTAATGGCTGCTGAAAATCCAGCTTAGCATCACAGGAATAAATGTCATTTTTAAATATATTAAAATAGAAAACAAAAAATTTAAAGTGTAATAATATTTCTGTTTTTACTGTATTTTTGATCAGATAAATGCAGCCTTGGTGAGCATGAGGGTCTCTTTTCAAAAACATTAAAACTCTTACCAACCCAACTTTTGAATTGTAGTATATGTCTCATATAAATAATTGTGTATTTGTATATGTAAACCTTATGAAGAAAAATATCACAACAGAATAAGCGTGACTAAAAAATGATGCACCAAATTTGGATCAGGTGGTGTTTTCTGACTTTTATTTCACTTTATTTTTCATGTCAGTCTTTTGATTCTCTGCTCAAATAAATAGTGCAAAATGCTTTTTGGTGTCAGTATATTTTAGATGATAGTGACTAAGGCTTCTGTCTGACACTGTGGATGATGGGAACAGTGAATTAGCAGTCTGTTTAGAAAATAAAGCAAACACACACTTAAATCAAACATCTGAAGTGAACATATATCTGCCTAACAACCCAATACTTTTTAAATAATTTCAAATAGTTTTCTGTAATGTACAAGAACAATACAACTAAAAAGAATGTTACAATATCCTATAATGTGTTAGTAAATCATATGTACTCATTTTAAATGAATGAAATGAACAAATAAATAAAAAATTAAGACAGCTTGCTGAAAACATTCCCTCACCACTGTTGTATATCGGTAACAAGATTTTAATCCAGCAATATTGACTTTTAATGCAAGAACTAAGGCAAATGTGCAATAAAGAAAATGTTGGTTTGTAACACAAACAAACAGTTACAATAGTAACGATACAGTCAAACGTAAGTGATACAATCGCAGACTCACGAAGGCAAATTCCATTCATTTACCAAAAACATCTTCATCTGACCACGCTTCTTTATCTGCAATGCCTCTGATGGTGACTTGAGTTTATCCATGCCTCCATAACAAACATACAGAATTTTGTGATGTTTTTTAGGCCCCAGAGGAAACCAAGGCAGAGCAACAATGTGAGAGAAATAGAGGTGTGTGGAATGGAAACACTTTCATCCATCCCTGAGGGTCTGATGGGTCTCACATATTTTTGAGCTCCGTTGTTTGGTGAAGGCAGAGATCACCCCTGAGAGCAGATCCACAGTCAGCTTCGACTTCATTTGTGACACTGCAATTCGTAATGTATTTGGGGGCCTGATTTGAACGCTGCAGTTAGGGGTGCTCTCACTGAGGTCAGTCTGTTATACAGAGAAGCCGCGGGCAGTGGATGCTGAGTTCTTGGCTCTCTGCACCACAGCCTGACACTTTTCACGTTTCAGAAGCTTGTTGTTCTCAAACACTCCCTCATTCCGCGGAGCACCATGGGAACCATCTGGAAATGTCAGCAGCCCTATGAAAAAAGACCACATTTATTCATGCTAAAAATCTTCACACATCCTAAACCAAATGTTACATATATGAACAGTAATTAAAATAAATACTTTTAATTATCCACCTTATTTTTAATGTATACAAATTTGTGACTTAAATGTGTGAGGCTTCCGGTGTCATCTGCTTCCAGTTATTTTAGCTCTATAAAAACAGCGGTTATGCTGCTTGATATGACAAAATAGTACTGTATTTCTTATCATATTATTTTATTATCATAATCATAAATGCACTAGTTTGTAGCACAAATTTGCTGTACTTTGTTATTCTTCTAGTTATTTACCTGCAGCAGCTAATGAATCAGAAGTCTCACACATTCATAGAAAATAGCTTACTTCCACATTTCAAAATAATGTGGATATGTAAGAGCAAATCTGATTCTGTCTGTATTTTTACATGTACAAATTTTCATCAATCGGAATGAATAAGAACTGTCGTTTCTGCCTTGCTGACATATCTAAAAAGAAAGCTGACATATATGTCAGAAAAGCTTTTTAAGTAAATATTTAGCCACCGACAAGTTCTTATGCCCGGTTCAGACTACACGATTTTAGCCCGATTTTGCCACGATTTGCTTGACGTAGGGTGTCGTGGGGATTCGTAAACGACAATGGGCGTCGGGACCAAGCGGCAACCTCCCGCTCTCTCTGCCAAGAAAATAGTCAGATTCAAGCATTTACATGCTTTTTTTCCCTGTTGATCGAAAAAAAAATTTCAGATCTACACCACTTTTCAATCCGATCGAAATTTTATTCGGATAGGGCTCACTCAGGTGTGCGTTTCCAAAAGCAATGTAAGTTGTAATTATGGTCGTACATTTCGTTGTTGCCTATATAGTTAAATGATTCAGTGTTTCCCGAAACCATAATTCAAACGAACATTCGCAAACAGCATCCCAAACGTACGTGGTTGGAACTACAGCTTTCGACCTGTGGTTAAAAGCATAGTTTCTTGTTAGTATGACTGAACGGACAATTGAGGTTGTTGTACGGGAAACGCACCCCAGATCGACTGAGGTGTTTACATGAAGGCTTTTCAGTCCGATTGAGCCATTATTCCTATTATACCCAGATCATTTGGGAGCATGCAAACGTAGCTATTGTCAATTTATAGTGGAATATTTACCATATCCTTCCACACGGCCACTTTTGAATTCCCCTTCAAATTTCATCCCGTCAAATCTGCTGAAGATTCCAACCCCTTGGAATTTTCCTTGGGCAAATTCACCCTCGTACCTGTTGACCAGAAATGGTGCTGTTTTCCACGTGACTAGTCTCACAGTGTCACTGCCAACATGTTCATCTCAGTTTAAGTAGGTAAGTATTTTGAATCTGATCACATGTTCACTCACCTGGATCCATCGGGAAAGACTAACACCCCTGATCCGTGGAACAGGCCATTCTCAAAGTGACCTTTATAACAGGTGCCATCAGCAAACTTCAGCTCACCTTTACCGTGCCTCCGACCTGCACAGCAAAACACACTGCTTCTTAAATGAACACAGAGTTTTTATCCAGTATACTAATTCTATAGACTGTGCTCTTTTGTATTAATGGCTGGCTCTGATAATTAGTACTATAATTAGAATGTCATTCCTACTTAAGATCACACCTGCATCTATTACATAAGCCGTTTGGATCATTAAGCAGTGCGCTACAATTCTCACAGCAATCAGAAAAACACAAGTGAACATGCTTAAGCATGTTAATATATGTAGTGGGACTCTGGCTAGTTGTCACACTTTTATCTCCACTGAATATTTCTCAGGCTAGAGTAATTTTTAGAAGTATGTATTGACACATACCATAAAGTTTTGGCTAAAAAATAATAATAGCAGAAACCGATGTCACACAATAGGGGGGTAAGTTGTCACAATTTGAACCTGCCATTAAACAGCCTATTATACGCTTTTCATTTAACATTTAAATAATAAAATATGAATTACATCACTTACTACCCCTACAACCACCTGTCCTCAGATCATAAATAAATTATAAATTAATATATAAGAAAAAATTTACATGTTCTGACAGATATAAAGCTCTTTTACAAGGTTGCACATCAGTGTCCCTTGTCAACATTCTCAGATATACTGTACAGTACAACTGAAAACAATTGTGCTAAACATTTTCTGTAGCAATCATATTTCAAATCCATTACCCAAATTATAAAAAAGATAATTTCTATACATTTAAGTCAGTCCTATTGGTTGACAATATTGTTTAGTACAGCATAGAATATATAGATATACAGTTGTTTTTTGTATCTTACAGTGTTGATTAATCTAAAATAATTCCATGATACAGGCCTATAAACTTTTAAATGGATATTATGGCATTCAAAAATGTAATTGTTTTGGCAAATAGAAACTTAACGAATAAAAGTACAGCATTTAAAACACACGTGACAACCTGGCCCATTTATGAAAAATGTCCTGAGAATTCAAATTAATGCAAAGTGTGTATGAAATGTCTTGCCTTCCTTCCATTCTCCGGTATATTCTTCTCCTCTGGAATAAGTGAAGGAGCCCCTGGTTAATGTCATACCTCCACCAAGCTACAGACAAAACAAATGAATATTAAGGTGTCAGAATTAACATAAAAGAATCAAATGACTATAAACAGGAGACCGAATAAATTATTTTATATATTTATGCACAGTAAAATACTGAATAGGACATACCAGTGCTCACACACAAACCTTATTGTGTGCTGTATAGTGCTCAGTCTAATAAAGTGGGACCCAGTGTAGCTGACTTGCACCCAACACTGTAACGTTATAATTGATCGGGTAACGGGACATTTACACTGAACACGTTAAAACATTTAACGTTACGGACTGAAAGAAAGCAGCGGCAGCGGTGACGTCATCCCGCCTCTTATTCACAGCCCGTGTAAAGCCGTTTGGAAGCTATTTAACGGCAGCAGATGAAGATTTCATTTACCTGTAATGCTTCTGTGCAGTCTCAAGAGCATGAAAACCCTTCGCTTTGTCCAGCGTATCCGCAGAGGGAGAATCGGGTTCTGGCTCGCCGGTGTTACGGTTCCTCTCGCTGAATCTCTCTCCCCTTGAAGATCTCGCGTTGTTTTGCTGCGTGCTTCTCTCAGCTGTGGATGTGTACTGAGCGCTGATTGGCTGATCAATGGCTACAATAGGTCGGTCTTCTCTAGGAATGTACGGAGTCCAGTGTTGCCAACTTAGCAATTTTGTTGCTAAATTTTGCAACTTTTCAGACTACCCTAGCAACTTTTTCTTCCAAAAGCACCTAGCAACAAATTTAGCAATTAAAAAAATTGATTTGGCAACCTTTAGCAACTTTTGATAAGTGACTCAGACAATAAAAAGGCAATGACATCACAACGTCATTTAGCAACTTTTAGCAACAAATCGACCTTCCTTTAGCAACTTTCTCTGAAAATTAGTTGGCAACACTGGTACGGACTCGTTAGTGCTGCTGTTTTACTAAGGCAAGTATGAAGTATTACTGCTGCTCACTCTTTCACCATTACTGCTGCTCACTCTTTAGCTTTGGCTCATACTCAAGAGGACTTGAAGAAACCTCTTTTTTGACTCGAGGCAGTAAATAACCACCCAGAACACCCTAGCAACCGCTTAGCAACAGCCTGTCAAGCGCCCACAAAGCCGAGACGCTGACAGGCATTGTTAAAATGTTGTTTATATTTTGATATAAATATGAATATTTTATGCGAATGTACTGCTAACAGTACAAAATAAAAATAGTTTTGAGAATAGATTTGATAAATAAACTTAAAGCTGCAGTCCGTAACTTTTGACGCTCTAGCGGTTAATAAACAGAACTGCGTGCGTCTTGCGGAAGAACATTGTAGCCGGAGCTACTTCTCTCTGTTTATGTCTATGGCGAATCACGCAGGTACTGGGCTACTCCGCAGCGGTACCTACCCGAACCAGTCTAAACAGTCCGAATATAAACACTTATTATAGGTGTACCGAAGTGATTCAGGACAAGCTAAAAACACGGTTTGGAAAATGGATTCATGGTGTACTCGCTTATTATATACATTTTTGTACATTTTGAACACAAAAAAGGTACGGACTGCAGCTTTAAATAAACCTTAAACTTAATTTGACTCGGTCCAAATATAGTGGAAACTTCCTGAAAGTCGTATTTGTTTTGTTTATTTTGAGGTTTATACTGTATAAACATACTGTTGGCAGGTATTTGTATTTAATAGCTTTAGCTTTTTTAATTTCGCATTCTGTGAACTGTGTTTGCTAGGTGGGTAAGACATTCATTTATTAGATTAGTAAACCATTTGAGTGAGAAATTGCGCTGGAAGTCCAATTTGTCAACAAGTTACACCTCCAACAGAATAATTACAATTACAGCAGCTACCCTATTTAATGAAATCTTTTTCTTTCTTTCTTTTTTTGGCCCATTCATGAACCTTATTATTAGTGAGGGCTTAATATATATTTTATCATTTGTCTGAGGAACTTGATCCTCACAATGTAGTCTTGTACACTACAAGAGGCTACTGAAAATGTGTACCATTATTGCCAAAAAGGGATACAGTTTATTTACCACACTGTATAGAAATCTACCTTTTAGAAGGGCATGTATTCAGACTATACGGGGTAAGTTGTCACTCTGTAAAAAAATTATATTTACATAAATTAAATAAAAATGGGAAATATACTGGTAAATTTCTGTCAGGACATTATCCATCAATTTTACGGACATTTCCGTTACTCTAAAAACACAATGCAATGCAGTGAAAAATTTCAAATACTTTTAAAACACCTGCAAAAATCAATATGGAAAATTCCTTCTTATTAGTGCAGTATATTGTGCCCTATTGTACAATTCTTATTTATTTATTTTTTATTTTATTTTTTTTAGAGTGTGTCTTCACTTTATTTTGACTTCATACAGTTAGTCTATCCCAGTTTCCCTTATAGTGAAGAACTCTCTCTCTCTCTCTCGCTCTCTCTTTTCCTGTCTCAGGTCTTTAAACTTGACCGGTGTCATTGCATCCTGCAGAGATTCAAACGCATATGCCCTGACAGCTGATCTCTTCATAAAACACAGCACCACAGGGAGCCATTTATGACCGTCGCTATAAACACCAATAGGTTGGTAATGAGAAATGTCGATAAAAATCTCACCCTGGAGATCTATTACCTTTAATGTTAAAGATAAGTGGTTCTCACTTCCAAACAACGAGAACCCCATTTCTTAAATATGGTGCAATATGTCAAAAGCTGTCAGTGCAACGTGGGCAAATATAACCACGCTTGGACTCATTTCCCAATTTATTTGTGTTTGGATTCGTATATTTTAAAGCAACCTTCTAAAATAAGGAATGGTAGCTAAAACCATACTAACTGTAACGTAATTGATTGTCTATAGAGGTTTTCACCCTTCATTGCTTTAACCTAAAGACCATGAACAAACACTCACACACTGTGATTGGGGTATAATTTGGTCTCTGATGATTGTCCTTCACTGGTAGTAAATCAGCATGGCAATAATGCCCCAGTGAAATGGGCAGTAGAGTCCATATGCCCCAGAGTCACAGGATGGGCCCTGCAAGCATCACTACACATGAGTGGCCAACCAGCACAACATGAGGACTGACCACACTACGAGCACACATCATTGCAATATAGAGTCTGCTCTCCTTGCAAGAAAAATCGCAAAGGTCAACTTCTAAAGCAGGAAGGATGGAACAGAGGTTATTGATGAGGGTCGTCTCAGTGACCGAGCCTAAATTGACCTATAATTCTCTGCAAGCCATTACATATGAGGAAAGTTTGTCGTACGTGATCAGTGCATCCAACATCAAGGTTAGAGAAGTCAAGCTATCATGCTCCGGTTCTAAATCTCCGGTCCCCGAGTGGAGAGAGGCTTTTATTTCATAAGCAATTGCATTATCCATGAATCTGTCCCTCTTTGTAATAAAAAAGATAGGATTATTAAATGACATAGTTGTTGCAGCAAATCAAAATTTACTTTCATCTGTCAAGCCCAGAACTTATCATGTGCTTTATTTTCACTCAGGTGCCAGTATTTATTTATAGCTTTATTAGGCGGTATAGAAATTAGGATACCTTAACATCAGAAATTGGTTTACAGTAGGTTATATTTTACTTTAGTGGATGTTCTTAGTCGATTGTATATAGACTCACTTATTTATACACATAAATACAGCTAACCTTATACTGTTGCATGCACATTTAGGTGCTAAGAGATAAAAAATTATATTTTTTAATTATATTAAATATTTTATTATTATATGATGTAGAATACTTTACATGTACAGGTATGTCTTATATCTTGGTTTAAGTAAACATCGTATTTGGGACATTTTTATCAGAATTGTATCTCATCATTAGAAATTTCTTTCAATGTTTCTTTCTGTGTTTATCCTAGGAATTTGTATTTAAAATGACAAAATTTTGAAAGGGGATTAGCATTACTTTGTGCTTTTTAGACGTACATAGAGCTACACGAGGTAGCACAAGGTCAAGTCTGGGTCTGGAGAGAAAAAATAGTGTGTGTGATGTTACGTTCTCTTCTGCTTTGTTTTAAGATTATGAAACATGCACACGTACACATACTTATTGCTCATGGCATAGCTGCAGACCTTCCTGGGTGAAAAAGAACAATTAGAGGTAAAATGAGGGCAGAATCACTGGGGGAAATGGCTGGTGAAGACTTTATTGATTAGTAAGGATTGCCTGATCCAGCGCTCAGTATAGCAATTATGCTGGTGTCAACAGAGAGCAAAGCTACGAAAGACCTTCACATCGGCCATCTACAGCATATAATCATACATGTAGAGACAGAGTACATCCATTCTCCATGAAACTACTGATGGGCATTTCATGGCAAGTAAAATGAAGATATTCTTGAGTCCTGGGACAAAACATGCTACAGAACTGATTAACAGAAGATTAAGTATTAAGAAATTATTTGGGTTAATCTCTTAAACGTAATCCTTTACGTTTGGTTCCAATTCCTTATCTAATTTAACTCATATCTGGACTTTCTGGATGAATACAGACATTGATTTAACCAGATTTTATAAATATTTTTTACAAATATTGGTAAAAGGTAGGGACAGCTGTGAAATCTTATAAAAGAGGTTCTGTAAGAGTTAGTAACCTTTATTTAATCAGGATAAAAAGCGCTGAGATAAAATATATTTTACAAGAGTGACCTGGTCAAGAAGAAATACATGTATAAATAAATAAAACAGAGGTAAACAAATGCATAATAAAATACAGTCAAGTTTCACAGAAGCAGCAATGTAGATATAGCAGAAATGTATAATTTTAAGATGCACACACACACACACACACATATATATATATATATATATATATATTAAAAGCTTGAATATATTTTAATATATATGAAGTAGCTATTGAGTTTTATTCCAAGGACAGCCAGTTTTATAATGTAAATCATAATGAGTGATAAAAATATAATTTTAATAAAATTAAATGGTACATTTGAGCTTAGGAAATTTCTAGTGATGATTTCTGATTAATTTCAAAATGTAAATGTTGCCTTTATTTCAACATAATTGCAGATAAAATTGTCTTAAGAATCAATACATTGCACATTTTGTCACATGTCTTAAGAATCAGTACATGCCAATTTTAAGTTTTGCATATTTTGCAAGGTTTTGGAAAAGCATCACCAACAGAACAATCTGAAGGTGAGGGAACCGTTGGATAATTCAGGTGTGTGTTGAAGGGACAAACACAATCTGTTTCCTCCACAAATAGAGATAAATTCAGTTCTGCCTCCTTCCACTCCATCAGCCATGCCTGACCAGTTCTACCCAGTGTCTCTCTCTCTGAACAGTCATAACCATTAATCCCAGACACCCTATTTATACTGCCTAATTGTGATGAGTATGAATTATCAACTATAGTGAGTACCTAATTGCCCTTCATAAAGTCAGCCTCCCCCTGGCTTTAAAGAGGGCTGTTTAAATAATGTTACTATTAGCTCTCTTCTTTACATGGAGAATATATCTTCATTTTTGAGCTCGCAGAGCGTGAGATTTTTTAAAGGGGCAATTGAGAAAAGGCATGCAGGTGGT